TTCCTTCTGTCTTGTCATATAATAATATCATTATTATTATCATTATTTTTATTTTATGTGTATGAGTGTATTGCCTGCATGTATGTGAGTGCACCCATGTAGTGCAATGCCACAGAAGTCAGAAGAGGGCGTTGGATTCCCCGGAAACTGGAGTCAAGGATGGTTCATAGCCGCCATGTGGGTGTTGGGAATCGAACCCGGGTCTTCTGCAAGAGCAGTCAGTGCTCTTAACCACTGATCCATCTCTCCATCTCCAATGTCATTATTATTATATTAATTATATGATTATAATAAAATTATATACTTATGTATTTATTGGATATTTAAAATTTGCAAGATATATTATTATATATTCTTGTTTATTTCAGACAGGGTTTCACTATGTAGCCTAGGCTGGCCTCAAACTCATGATCCTCTCCCCTCTGCCTCCCAAATGCTGGATTACAGGTATCCCCACTGTAACCAGGCATTATTATATATTATTAAAATGCATAGATATGGACCAAGTGTAGTGGCACACACTTTTAATCCTGGCACTTTAGAGTCAGAGCCAGCCTGGTCTACATAGCAAGTTGCAGGCTGGCAAGAGTTAGGCTACCCAGTGAGACCCTGTTTCAAAAAAAAAAATCCATAGATAAAGATTATTTTAGAAATAATAAATAAATACAATAGGAGTAATTAAATAGATAATACATTTTTTTAAAAAGTGACCATACATGCTGGTACATGTATATAAGCCCAGCACTCAGGAGATGGGGGCAGGAAGATTGTGAGTTTGAGGACAGCCTGGACTACATAGTGAGAACTTGTATCAATAAAACAGCAACAAAAAGAAACAAAAAGCCAGGACCTGAGGCATTACTCTGACATCAAGACCAAATAAAGACAGGAGAAAAGAAAATTGGGGCCTGAGAGATGGCTCAGTGGTTAAGAGCACTGGCTGCTCTTGCGGAAGACTCAGGTTTGGTTCCCAGCACCCACCTGGCAGCTAACTGGCCGCAACTCCAGTTCCAGGGGACCTAATGCCCTTGTCTGTCCTCTGTGGGCACTGCACACACATGGTGTACTTACATACATGCAGGCAAAACACTCATAAACATAAAATAAATAAATAAAATTAAAAGAAAAAATATGAAAACTTTGCAGATTATATTACTGTATATATTAAAAGACGTGGCTGTCAGAATTTTGAAAAAAGAGTGCATATTTATACTAGAACTGGTTGGACAGATATTACTTATAGTTAATCCAAAACCACATTCTATAAAGCCAGCATTAATCTGAAATCAACACCAGATAAAATCACAAGAAGTTACAGACCAATATTCTTTATGAATAAAGATGCAAATTCCTTTTAAAATTAGTAAATATTTTCAACAGTATTCTAAAATGATTATTTACCACGACCAGATGGGACCCATCCAGAGAATACTACAATGGTTTGGTGCAGAGTGAATCACTGTAGCACATAACACCAACAAAACACAGGGAGGAGTCTACACTTGAGCATCTCAGTTGACACAGAAGAGGCGTTTGAAAAACCCTAAAACCCTCTCATGATAGAAAAAAACTCTCAGGAAGATGAAAGAACTTAACTCAGACCTAAATAAGTGGGAAGTCATGCTATGTTTGTGAATAGGAAGATGGCATTTTAAAGAGGTCAGTACCCAAAGTGTTGTATAGGTTCAATAGCATCCTTATCAAAATGGCAATAGATATTTTTCCCACAAAAAAACAAAAAACCAAAAAACCAGGGCTAGAGAGATGGCTCAGTGGGTAAGAACACTGGTTGTTCTTGTAGAAGACCCGGGTTCAAATCCCAGCACCCACATGGCAGCTAACAATTGTCTGTAACTCCAGTCCCAGGGGATCCGACAGCCTCTTCTGACCTCCATGGGCATTGCATGACACAGGTGCACTTACCTACATGCAGGCAATACATGCATACACATAAAATAAAAATAATAAAATTAAAACAAAAAACAAAAAAACAGAACCCATTCTCAAGTACTTAAGGAACTTAAAGGGTCTTTGAATACCTAAGACAATCTTTTTTTTTAAAATAGTGAAGCTATAGTTTCCTTTTTAAGAGTTATTTTCACTTTATGTATATGAATGTTTTGCCTGCATGTATGTAAGTGTACCATGTGTGCAATGCCTGCAGAGGCCAGAAGAGGGCAACTCTGGAACTGGAGCTACCATGTGGGTGCTGGGAACCAAACACAGGGCCTCTACAAGAACAGAGTGCTCTTAACCACTGAGCAATCTCTCCAGCCTCCCCCCACCCCTGAATCTTGAATGATAATATTACTAATAATATTGTTGATAGACTCATACTTCCTGATCTTAAAACCCATCTATAAGATTACAATTAACACTATAACTGGCATCAGGACAGATGTACAGCTCAGTGGACTAGAAGAACAGACCTGAAAATAAGTCATAACTTAATATGGTCAATTGATTCTGTGCCACCATTATTCAGTGAGGGAAGGACAGCCTTTTCCACATACAATGCTAGTAAAACTGGATATTCACATACAAAAGAATGGAACTGGACCCTCAACTTATACCATATACAGTCATCCTTCCACATCTGTGGGTTCAGATTTCACATATTCAATCAACCATAATTGAAAAATATTTTAAAAACATGCTGGCTGTGGTGGTGCATACCTTTAATCTCAGCACTTGGGAGGTGGAGGCAGGTGGAGCTCTGTGAATTCAAGGCCAGCCTAGTCTATGTAGTGAGTTCCAGATCAGCAGGGCAGCATAGTGAGACCATGTCTCCAAAATATAAAACAAAATAAAATGACAAACAAGCAAAATACCTAAGCAAAACTAACACATACAGACCTCCTTCCCTTGCCTTTATCCCCTGAACAGTAGTCTAACAACTATTTACATTGTGTTGGGTATTACTGCAATCTAGAGATACTTTAAAGAATATGCAAGTATGCATATAAATTAAATGCAACTAATACCATTTTATTTAGGGAACTTTAGCCTCTAGTAATTCTGGTATCCTTTGTTTGTGGAGAGGTCCTCCAAGTCCCCATGGACACTGAGGGACTTCTGTACAAAAATTTAATTAAATGAATAAAAAATTTAAACATAAGAGCTAAAACTAAGAAAATCTGGAGAGCATCTTCATGACTCTGGGTTTGCAATGAGTTCATGAGTGTGAAATGAGAGGCACAGGAAATAGATTTTATTTATAAACATTTTATTTATTATTTTTATTTTATGTGTATGTGTGTATTGCCTGCATGTAGGTAAGTGCACCCGTGTCGTGCAATGCCCGTGGAAGTCAGAAGAGGCCGTCGGATCCCCTGGAACTGGAGTTACAGACAGTTGTTAGCTGCCATGTGGGTGCTGGGATTCGAACCCAGGTCTTCTGCAAGAACAGTGTTCTTAGCTGCTGAGCCATCTCTCCAGCCCCCTAAACTAATAGGACAAATAAAATCATAAATTAAAGTATTTTCAAATACATTGGAGAGAGGTCACAGGAAAGTGTGGAAATCTCAACTACAGGCCTCCAATGCTATCTGATGGCTTTTAGCCTTTTGGTTGGTGGAAGCTGGGGGTCTGTTTGTACATTCCAAAGGATTTACTTAAGGGTCACAAAGATATTACATGGCATACAGAAGTGGGTAATGAATGACTATTAAGGGGGTAAAGATGGCCCAAGATAATCTGGCTCTGGACTTGCAACATTCCAACCATTCCACATCACTGACATTCTAATCAGTTAATCAGCCTCACAGTTCAGTGTAAGGCAGGGTTCTTTCCAGGAACTTTCATTCATGCTTTTCTAGAACACTGCATAGGTGTAGTGACGCAGCCTACAGCCTTTTCTGACCGGCTTCTTTCACTCAGTATGTATTTTTGGTTTCTCTGTATGTCTTTTGGGAGCTTGACAACTCATTTCCTCTGGACATGGAATACTATTCCACTACAAAGCTGTATCACAGCCTGCTGAGTACAGGGTCTCGTGTAGCCTCAGCTGGCCTTGAACTCCTGCTCCTCCTGCCTCTACCTCCCCAGTGCTGAGATTACATGTTAGATAAAAAGGTGGCAGGGATTGCTGCAAAACAGAAACAAAGAGGACTCTGGCAAAGCGAGAGTTTAACTGGGTTTGGCGGGGCTGGTCCTCAGCTCAGGTGTGAGGAAGAACCAGCAGCTTAAGGGCTGCAGAGGGGTAGTTTATAAAGGGAAAAAATGAGAAAAAAGAGAATATTTTTCTGCTGTTCGGGACTGTTTTGGGGCTGCTTGCTCAGTGGAGGGCATGGGGTCTGTACCTGGTAAAGCATATTGGGGAAAACAGTTACTGTAAAACATGTTTTTCTACGATTACAGAGTTCCAGGAATTAACTGCAGCTAAGGGCTTGGGAAACCTGTTTGTCAGTCTGTGGGGCATGCTCTGGTGATCACAATACATTGGTTATTAATTTCCCAGGGGCTGCTTTTGTTAACTTGCAGGCAGCTGGGAGTTGGTTGACTCAACTTCTCTTAGGAGCCTCATGGTTTCTGGGTCTGGGGTCGCCTAGATCTGAGCCCTATCATTACACACCTGGTTTGTGTGGTGCTAGAAACTGAGCCATGATAGGAAGACCCTACCCACTGACCTACCTCCTCAGTCTTCACAGTGTTTTATGACTGCTGCCTTGCCGGTTAACTTGTTTTAGGACAAGACCTTGAGACTATGGAATATTGAAGGAATTGACCAAATTCCTTTGGTGATGGAGAACCAAAAAGCCTCAGGCTTCAAGGTGAAACAGGTTGGTATTGGGTAAAATTAAGCCCAGTGAAGACTTTAATTTTTTTCAGTTTAATTTATTCCTTGAGTAAACATTTATTGGGCTCCTGGTGACAGAACCATAAAAATAACAGTGGGATCTGTGCTGCATGGGAAATTAAATCCTAAAAAGTAAGACAGGTATAAAGACACAAGAAAAATGTGTATTCATGTAGTGGCCAGTAATCGTTTTTTTTTAAAAAAAAAAAAAAAAAAAAAAAAAAGCACACAAGAGGGGCGGGGGTATGATAAAGTCTCACCGTATAGCCCTGGCTGGCCTTGAACTTGCTATGTTGACCAGTATGGCTCTGTGGTTAAGGGCACTACTTGCTCTTGCAGAGGACCCAGGTTAGGTTCCCAGCACTCACATAGAGGCCAATGACCACCTGTAACTCGAGTTCCAGGGGGATCTGATGCTCTCTTCTGGCTTCTGATGGCATTGCATGACATAGGTGCACTTACATACATGCAGGCAAAACACTCATACACATAAAATAAAAAAAAAATAAAAAAACTTTATGCCAGCATGGTGGCCTACAGAAGCAAGGAGATCTCTGTGAGAATAAGGTCAGCCTGATCTACATGTGAGTTCCAGACCATCTGGGGCTACGAGGAGACTATGTCTCAAAAAAACAAACCAAAACCAAAACCTAAAAGCCAAAACAAAAACACAGAAGTGGGGCAGGGATGTGCAAGTATTCATTCATTCATTCATTCATTCATTCATACATTCATTCAGTCTTTTTGATACAGGGTCTCATATGTAGCCCCAGCTGGCCTGGAACTTGCTAGGTAGACCAGGTTAGCCTCAAACTCACAGATAGCCCTCCCTGCCTCTGCCTGCTGAGTGCTGTATTAAGGCATGAACCACCACACCTGGCCTATTTTTATTCAGTTGTTTTTTTGGGACAGAAACTCGAGATATAGTCTAGGCTGGGCTGGAACTCTTGACTCTCCTGCTTCTGCCTCCTACGTGTTAGGCGTACAGGGACATGCACAGCTGATTGATTGATTGCACCACTAGGGATGGAACCCAAGCAAGGTTTTGCACATAATAGGCAAGCACTCTCCCACTGAACTACATCTCCTACTGAACTATATTCCCAGATTCTGTGCTATTTTAAAGGGTGGTCGGGATAGGGTTTAGGAGGAGGTGACACGTGTGCAGATTTGAAGACAGTAAGAGGGTGAGTTGTTAGGTATTTAGGGGCAGGAGTCCCCAGTAGCAGGTATAGTTAGAGTGGGGGCCTAAGGCAAGCCTGTGTCTGAGGAGTGTGGGGCCTGGTATGTGTGGAAGGGAGGAGGCGTAAGGGAGCAGTGGTCAGTGGGAGAACAGCTGGATCCTTTGGGATTATGCTGTATTCCAGCTGCAGAACCCCTGGCTGGGGCCCTGGGGCCCTATTTCCCATATGAAAGTCTCAGAAGCCTGTGATTGTTTAGTGCAAGAGCTGGGTGGTAGGTAGGAGCATGGTTAGCCTTACCTGGGCCAGCCACAGAGGCAAAAGACGTGCCCACTCCACCCCAAACTCCCAGGAGCTCTGACTGGAAATCACTGTTCCTGGGAACAGCTGATGTGGGGGAAGTGCTGCTGGTAGGGTAAGGGGTAAGAGACATAAGGACCTTGTCTTTGTGGCCAGCTGTTCCTTAGTGGCTTTCATGGCTGTGTTAGTCCATAGACTCTGGATGCTGACTATTGAGCAGTGACTGCCCCATCTTCCACTTGCTACCTGGACTGGCCTGGGAGCTACCTCCTCCTTGAGTCCTGTTGTTCTGGAGTTGGACCATGGAAAACAGGCTTTGGAAAAAGGATCTCACTTCTTTAAAGAGATCCGCCAGAAGCTGAAGCAAAGATGAAGCTACTAAGTTCACCCTGTTCTGAGTTGACATGAGAGGGCTCAGCAGCTGGGCATCTCACATGGTTTTCTCCAGGAAGAATCTGCCTGGCTGTGGAGTGCTCTAAGTTCTTAGGGGGCAAAACAGGAGCATAGGGTGCCAGGGTAGGGACATGCCACCTTGCAGGTTTATCTTAGGGGGCTGCTGTGCTGGGGTCACCTGAGCGGTCTCTGCCATAGCCCGAGAGTCCCTACTTCTGTGGTAGTTGGCTTGATGGTAGGTAGCAAATGAGGTGGCTCCACTGTGTCATCCATTTCCACTGTGCGGTGCTTTGGCCAGAAAGAGACTCAGCATGGAGGAGGATGCTCAGAGCCTGCATCAGTCTAGTTGAAATCCTTGCTTGGAAGTAGGCAAGGTGGCCCCCTCCCCTTGTAATCCCAACATTCAGGAGGTTGGGACAAGAGGATCATTAGCCTATGCTACATAATGTGACTTTGTCCCCAAGACTAAAAACTAAAAAAATAATCCCTGTTTGTTTCAGAAGTCTTGTCTGTTAGCCAGATGGTACATGCTTATAATACAAGCTACTAGAGGGCTGGGCAGGAAGATTGTAAGTTCAAGGCCAGTCTGGGGTACATATCGAGACCCTGTCTCAAAATCACACACACACACACACACACACACACACAGAGAGAGAGAGAGAGAGAGAGAGAGAGAGAGAGAGAATATAAAGCCTTGTTTTAATTCCTAGTTCTACAAAAAAATTCTCACCTGTTTTCTTTGCTTGCTTCTTGGATCTGTGAAAGTCAGGTCTCCCCAGCATATGAAGGAGTAAACACTTCTTGGGTCCCACAATGCTGCTGCTCACAAAGAACAGTGGACAGGGCTGGACGTTTATCCCTCATCCCTGTCTACACCTCCTCAGTATGTGGCTGCCACAGGTCCAGCCTTCAGTACCCACCTAGCTTTGGAGGAGACTAAGCTGAAGCTTGTGCCCAGTTTAATCGTAGCCTGCCACGGGTACTTTGTGGAGTTAGGGACGTGAGAGGGAAGGAAGCCCTTGCCTCAGTCCAAGACAGCTGGATGGGTGGGGTGTGAAATCCTAATTTCACAACTTGATCTCCTCTAACCAGAATCTCTTTTCTTCTCTTTGAAAATATTCCACATCAGTGCACAGTATGTGACCAACCTTTCTCCACCTTCGAAAGTGACACTGCAACACCTGAACTGGCCACTCAGTGTGTGTTCTGCCGGAGAGATGCAGAGGGCTCATCATCTGAGACCTCATCGTTGTTGTCATTGGAGGAGAACAAGGAGTGATGGCCATGGGCTGCTATGTAGCTTGATGGTCTGGCAGGGCTCTTCTCTGGGTCCCCTCCTCAGCTGAGTGCACCTATCAGACTCAGGCTGGGGCCAGGCCTTGGCTGAGCTCTGGACACAGCTGAGTCTTCTGCCCCACACCACCTTTCTAGGTAGCACTTTTTCATCTAAAATAAATCTAGATTCCTTTGGGAAACAAGTGTGCATGTGTATTAGTAACTTTTCTGTTGCTGTGATAAAACAGCATGACCAAGGCAACTTATAGAAGGAAGTTTATTTGGGTTATGGCAGGGAGGCGTGGTGGCAGAGGTGGCCAGAGCAGAAAGCCCAGTGCTCATTGTCAAGCAGGCACAGGAAACCGAGCTGCAGATTGAAAGTGGGCAAACTATATACTCTCAAAGCCTCCCTCCAGGGACGTGATTCCTACAGCATGGCCATACCTTCTAAAGGTTCCATGATCCTCCCGAAACTGTACCACAAACTGGAAACCAAGTGTCCAAATACTTGGAGCCTATGGGGGACATTCTCATTCAAACCACCACAGCGTGTGATCCTAGAAGCAGTTTGCTTTTATGTCCTAGTGTCCATCCAGTTTCAATCTTAGAACACATCCCCTCACGTTTGGGAGTCTGGAGCTGCCTTGGAAGTTGGCCCTTAACTGGCATCTGTACTTATTGAAAACGTTTGTCAAGGGAATATGATATGTGGGGCCCTCTCTTTGGATGGCAAGACAATAAAACCGCTATGGTTTCTCCTTTAAAGGTACATGTGCTGGGAGTTTTCCCCCCTGTGACAGGATTGACAGGTGGTGAGGCCTCTTCCCAAGACCAATATGGATGCATTCATCACCACAATGGCTCTGGATGACTAGAATGCACATACATCTGCCCCTTCGAATGGGTACCTAGGTCACTACAAACAATACTGGGTCGCAGCTTCCGGTGCATAACGCGTTTATTTCTGCACTGACCTAACATTTCACCGGATGAGTCCCCCCCAGTGGAGAAAGGCTGCAGGATGGTGTTAGCAGTGCTTGGCAGTTTGTTGCCTAAAAGGCATGGCGGGCAAGGAAACCCCAGAGTGACAAATGGAAGCCTGGGTGGCGATGGCCTTGATTCGCTGATGCAGTAGAAAGTTCCGCCGTGTGGGTGCTCAGAATCGCCCGGAAGCCCTCGGGACTCCCCCTATTTCCTGGCTGCGGGAGAAGTGGTCCAGATGGCCTGGCAAGGATGCCCGCCTAGTCCCACGATGCGGTGTGGATGGGCACAGGGACCGCCGCACTTCCTAGTCCGCTTGCCTAATAACCCACGGAAGATGCGGGTTAGAAACGGAAGCTACAAACGGCCCAGAAACCAGTCCCGCCCACGCCCCGCCCACGCCGTGAAGCATGTTGGACCTTCCAGTATTCCTTTGGGCTTCGGGTGCCCACGCAAGCGAGAACCTGAACTACGCATGAGTCATCTGACGTACAAAACCATGTACGCATGCTCAGAGCTCCTGGGTAAACTCGAGATGGGGACTGGTTTCTCACGGTGGCTGAGCAGGCGGCGCCGTGGCTTAGTTGGTTAAAGCGCCTGTCTAGTAAACAGGAGATCCTGGGTTCGAATCCCAGCGGTGCCTCGAATGAGTGTTCATGCTCAGCTAGCTTCCCTTTTACTTTTCATTTTGCAAGGCGGCCCGGCGGGTCTGTCCCAGGTTCCGGGAATGAAAGTGAGCCTGGGAAGACCCTTTAGCTGAAGCGGTTGCTGTGGCGCAGAGCACTCGGGGTAACGCAAGGATGTTGGAGGTGTCCGCGCGGCCTTTGCGAGGCAGGCCAGCGGTGGCCACTCTTCCTGGCCGCTGTCTCTGGCGTCGGGTCCTCTTGCTTCCCTTTGTCTTTTGGGGTTGCGAAATATCTGCCCCTCCAGTGCTCCCACAGGGGTGACGAGTCTCTACGTCTCTTGGCTTCGCTAACCTTTGTAGAGGATGCTGCTTTCTCCCTTTTCCAGTCATACAGTGGGTGCCAAGGCTCTGCGGATGGTAGGTGTACTTGGCGAGGTCAAGTGTGGCCCCAAAGGGAGGCTTGCAGCGTCAAATCTGGCCAGTGTGAACGTCCGTCTGCAGAATGCAAGAAAACTGCAATCAGTGGAGGATCCCAAGTGGCTCAGTGCTGGAATGTGGTTAGGGCTGAACGCTAAGGCCGAGGCTGTGGTTGCTAAGTGCCGGGACGCCACAGGCACGTGGGGACCCCCTTCAGAGCACTTGCACCCAGAGCTTTAGGAAGGAGAAGCTTTGGCGTTTTAAAGAGAGTTTCCCAGGGATTCACGTAGGTCACCACATGATAGGTCCCCACATGATAGGCCCACTGAACGCCAGAAACTGCATGTATGACATGAGGCCGTCCTCCAAGCACACATATTTTTCGACCCGTAATTGAAATGACATCTTTATAAATCCATCGTAAATGTAAAACTATCTTATGGGCTGGTGAGATGACTCAGAGGGTAAAGGTGCTTGCTACCAAACCTAATGACCTGAGTTCAATCCCCAGGTCTCACTTGGTAGACGGAGAGAACTGACTCCTGAAAGTTGTCCCTTGGCCTCCACAGGTTGTGAAAACATAGGGTACCCAGAAATCTATTAATACTTCAGTACCGCTGCTGCCCAGCTATTGAGAGGGGACTGTAGGACATCTCTCTAGCTGGGGAAAAGATCAAAATTGAAAAATGTCCGGTTTCTACCAAATGGGTGTCCCTTTTACCACCGTGGTCAAGTTGACAAATCTTGAGTTGAATCATGGTAAGTCAGGATGGTCCGCAGTCAAATTCAATAGCCCCAGAGGCAATTTTTCTGCTTCTCCTATGGGTCTGATTTGTTGTTCGCTCTTGTAGGTTTTTGGGTCAGTTCCTGCCCCTTTACAACATGGTTGTTTTGGGTTGACATGACAAAGGAAAAGCATGTAGGGAAGGATATTTCCACTCTGTGTGGCTGATAGGTGTACGCTGTCAGTGAAGATGTATTGGAAACTGAGCTTGCCGTCATTCAGAGGCTGGCTTGGTTCTAGTCCATCTTTATTACAGCTGGGAGCATAGAGGGACAGTTCCGAGAACTCACCTGTTAGATGTTGTTATAGTTTGAATACTGTTTGAATAGGGCCAGTTGCTGAGAGGTTGTGGAGACTTTGGGAGGTGGAGCAGCTAGGGTTGGGTCCTTAGGAGCCCTGTCTTACCCTGACCCCTGATCATCTCTCTGTGTCTCTGTCGCTGTTGCTATCACTCTCTTGCTGCTTCCTTGCTGCTGTAAGGTGAGCAGCTTTGATCTGCCATACCCTTCTTCCATGATGCTCTGTTTCATCACCAAGTGGGAAACACCAAGCCAGCTGACCATGGACTGGAACCTCTGAAATTGTAGCCTCAATAAATCTTTCCTCTTTTTAAAATTATACCAGTGTTTAGTCACAGTGATGAAAAGCTAACTAATTCAGGCAACCGACAGGGGTGTTAACTGGAAGGCATGAGTGTGGGACCTAGGGAGGATCAACTAAAGAAAAGCCTTTGTTAGTCATGGTTGCATATGCAGCAGATGACTTTAAAGCTATCTAATTGGGTGAGTACCCCTGAGCAATAAGCAAAGAGAGATACTGATACATAAAGCTTCTGAGCTGTGGTTTTAGCATCCCTCCAGAAAAGAAAAACGGACCAGTATCTGTCCTCTGTTCCTTAAATTTTTACCTAGGTGTTCCTGCCTTAGGGCTTTGCACTTGGGGTGCTTGGGATTTGGATGATTGTTAGTCACCACGTGGGTGCTGGGAACTGAACTTAGGTCCTCTGGAAGAGCAGCTAGCCTTAACCACTGAGCCATGTCTCCAGCCTCAATTCTTAAACTTTTTAATCTCAGGATTTCTGCATTCTCAAAAATTATTGAGGGGTTGTTGGAGAAATGGCTCGGTGGTTCAGAGCACTGGCTGCTCTTCCAAAGGACTGTCGGGAGCCATGCTTGCCATAAGCATTGGAAATTAGGAGAGTGTCACTTTAAGAGCTTCTGAGCTCTCTGCTTCAGCGGTCAGAGCTGACAGGCTGTACCTGTATGATAAATCAGGTCTTCTACAAAGTTAGTTTCGGTTCGGTCTGCGGGCACCGGAAGCTGCAGCTTCGTGCTGTATCCATAGTACCCTTTTTGTTTCTGTTAGGAATAATCACCTGGGTAACCCCAACTCTGGGCTGGATAAAAAGGACCTGTGGGACCCCTCAGTAGAATCTTCCTACTGGAGAATTCTTTCCTGCCTGTAGCTGCCTTTCTGTAAATAAAGTCTTAGAAAACTTCAGACTTCTTTCTGAGTTCTTTTCTTGTTGAAGACCCAAGCCTGGTGGGCTTGGGGGGCGTTCGACAAAGGACCCAGGTTTGGTTCTCAGTACCCACATGGCAGCTAACAACTGACCATAACCCCAGTTCCAGGGGACCCAGCGTCCTCTTCTGGCCTCCATGGGCACTGCATACATGTGGTGCACTTACATATATGCAGGCAAAACACTCATACACATAAAATAAAATAAATTTTTATTTCATTTTTTGGGGGGAGGTCTTTTTGAGGCAGGTTCTCCCTGTAGTCCCAGCTGGCCTGGAACTCACTATGTGGACCAGGCTGACCTTGAATTCACAGAGATTTGCCTGCCTCCCAAGTGCAGGGATTAAAGGTGTGCACAACCACACCCAGCAAAAAAGCCTTAAAAATTTAAATTATGCTTATTTATTTATTCATTTATTTAGTGTGTGTGCATGCATGTACCACTGTGTGAGTGTGAACATGCCTTTACCCACTGAGCCATCTCACTGGCTCCTAAATACAAAAGCTTTTTGACCCTCATAGAATCTGAAGAGAGGAGGAAAAGGGAAAGTATTGGAGCTGTATGTGAGTGGGTGTTTCTCAATGTGACAGCTTTAAGAACAGTTCCATTTTGATTGATGACCCCTTTGATAATGTTGAGTGAATCATCTTGATTAGATTATAGATTTATGGCTTGAATAAAGTCTCAGAATTAGATAACTATGTCACTGCATCTTCATGCTGAAAAGTCAAATGAGAAATCTAAGGACCAAGATAAGATACAGGAGAGGCAGCTATATAGTGTAATGGGAAAGAGCACCCAGGAGCTGCGGTGCACTGCCACAGGGTAGCTGTGGTCATGGTGGGCAGTCACAGTACCTGTTGCTGGTGGTAAGCAGTGGACTCATTTTTCAGCCACCCTTTAATTTTTATTGTGATAAAGACATCAAACTTGATATTTACTATTTTAACTTAAAAAAATTATGTGTATGACTATTGTCTGCATGTATGTAAGTGCACCACATGTGTGTAATGCCCCACAAAGGCCAGAAGAGGGTGTCAGAGCCCTTGGAACTGGAGTTGCAGATGGTTGTTAGACACCATGTGGGTGCTGGGAACTGAATCTGGGTCCTCTGCAAGAGCAGTCAGTGCTCCTAACTGCTGAGCCATCTCTCCAGCCCCTATTATATTAACTTGTGCGTGCGTGCATGCGTGCGTGTGTGTGTGTGTGTGTGTGTGTGTGTGTGTTAGGGATCAAATCCAGAACCTCATGCATGCTAAACAGGAACTAAACCAGTAAGCCACACCCCAGCCTCTCACTGGGAGATTCTAGGCGAGGGCTCTACCTCGGAACCGAACTCCAGCCTCTGAGTTATGGTTTCAGTATCTTGTGTTTGACTTCCCCCATCTTTTCTTCCTTCCATCCTCTCAATCCTTGTTACTATG